TATCCCCGAAGGGAAATTCAATAATTTCTGATTTAATTTCCTGATTTCCTTCAAGCAAGGTATTTTGTGAAGTCAAGTTGCTTATTCCTACTGGCCCAACCAGTTAAAAATTCATTTGAAAACTCTCTTTTAGACTTCAACTTATCTACACTCAACAAAAGATGTATTTCCCTTTTTACAGGAATATTTATTTCTTGTGACAGTGTTCGGCATACCGGAGTTAAAGAATTATGGGAAAAAGACCTTGGGCTCTTTTTTCGTGCGCGCCGGTGAGGCGGCGGAGGGCAGCGAGCCCTGCGCAGTTGTATTTTCGTCTGGTGGAGCCCGGCATAAGGCCAGTTTGGTATTTTCGTGGACTGAGCCGCACGGAGGCGAGCCGAGATCCGCCACGCTGGGCGTGGTGGCGTGGCAGGGGGAGGTGTCGACAGAATCAGCAGGCGCAGTGACATTTTCGTGCTCACCACCGGCGTGTAAAGTGCGCTGAAAGCTCGCTGATTCAAACCTGGTCAGGTTTCAGCGCATGGCGGAGCGCAGCTGGTCTAGTGGTATTTTGGTAGACCGGCGGCGTTTGGTACGTGTTTGGACACACAACCTGACCGAATCAACACAGCTGAAACCGCATCAAATTAAATTAAAAATCTAGTAAATAGACACACATGATGAAGTTAACAATATATGTAATTCGTCTCCCTCCTTTTCTTTCTTCCTCTTCCTCTTATTTCTCACACAGCTCGACCTGGACACATCCCCGTGTCCTCTGTCCGTCTTGCTGCTGCTGCGGCTAAACAAATGATTTGTTTCAGTGCTCAGATGCGTTATCTACTTTAAGCCTATAGACCTTTTTAGCGAACGGCAAACGCCACTTCCGCTTTTACTTCCGCATTCTCCCGAATGATGTTCTGGTCTTCCGGTAGCTTAGCTCGCGTAAGTTGCGTTTCCAGACTCGATAAAGAGAACAACAGACGGATAGAAGAAAGTCAAACATGGATATACCGACAAAGAAACGTAGTTCGGGGAGGACGTGCGCCGTTATTGGATGCAAAAATTCACAAAAGCGTCTGAACGAGTGGCTTGATCGGGAGTGTTTTGACCACAGGCCAGCCACAAAGCGGAATTGTACATGCGACCCGTTGTTTTCATTTTTCAGGAAGCCAAAAGATGGTTACAAATCGCGGATGTGGCTGAAGGCGTTGAACCTGAAGAAACCACCCAAAAACGTTTTTGTCTGTTCCTTCCACTTTGTGGAGAAAAAACCGACGGAAGAAAATCCTTTCCCAGAGCTCTGGATGGGTTACAATCGCTCTCCCCAGAAGAGGAGACGTTCTTTTGAAAGGCGAACCCCTTCCTCTCCCCATAGAAAAAGGAGTCGTCGTCAATCGGGTAAGTTTTGCTTCAGCTTGTCTTTAGCTAACACTAATACTTTGAACTTGTCATAACACAGTTTTGTGTACAAACCTGTAGTTGCTCTGTATATTGTTGCCATAAACAATGTAGCCTTGCAAGTTTAGCAGTTTGCTATCTGTGTTTTAGGGGCGCTGCAGGTTGCCATAGAGTAAAACATGAGTTGGTAGGCTACACCCTGGAATAACAGAAATATTTGTGATCAGATTGAAGTAATATTTGATCAGACAGTGCCCCCAATATAAGAAACCAGAGTGCAATTTATTAGCTACATACTGTGTGTGTTAGTGTGTGTGTGTTTGTTGGGAGTGTGTTTGTTGTGTGTGTGTATCTTTGTCTGAGTGTTTGAAATTGTGATGCTGTAGTGACAGCAATGTTCCATAGTTGCATTAATTTTACTCCATGTTTTCTCTCCTCCCTTGTTCAGATGTCACCGAAACTTGTGAGCCTGCTGCACCAGATGTCCCTGAAACCTGCCCGCCTGCATGTGAGCCTGCTACACCAATTTATCGGGATGCACAGACACAGTGGCAAGATCCAACGATTGCTGATCATAACTACCTCTCAACAAAACTGCCCATCAACAAAGAGGATAAAGCAACACAGTGTGAGGCAGAAAACTATCCTACTGTGGCTAGCACTACAGTCACTGATGATGGCAAGTCGTTGTTGTTCACAGGAGTGCGTAAGGCACAGTTTTTCGCTTTGGTGACGTCATTGCTTCCCTTCAGTGAGCCATCGGTTAAGCTTCCCGTTGTCGACCAAATCCTAATGACCTTAATGAAACTCAGACTAAACCTATTATTAGGAGATATCGCTCATCGCTTCAGAGTGTCCACAAGCATGGCAAGCATAGTGATTGGTCACTGGATTGATGTTATGGGTGAGCAGTTCAAAGTCTTGATCCCCTGGCTTCCAAGAGAGACCATTTATGCAACCTTGCCCTTGTCATTTAAGAAGAACTACCCTCGAACCACCTGCATCATTGATTGTGCTGAAAGTGCAATTCAGAGGGCTAGAAACCTTGACTCCAGAAGTGACACTTTCAGCCACTACAAAAGCACCAACACTGTGAAATATCTTGTTGCTGTTGCTCCCAATGGTGTCATCATGTTTATATCCGACGGATATGCTGGCAGAAGCAGCGACAAGTTTATCACTATGGACAGTGGGTTTCTGGACTACCTGAGGGCTGGTGATGAGGTAATGGCGGACCGGGGATTCACCATTCGAAACCTGCTCGATGAGAGAAAGGTCCGGTTAAACATCCCTGCATTCACCTACAGGCGTGGTCAGTTGACCAATGAGGAGGTGACACGCACCAGGCGGGTGGCCAATGCCCGCATCCATGTAGAGAGGGTCATTAGAAGGTTGAAGGTATTCAGGATTTTATCTCAAACCATTCCCATCACCATGACACCGAGGTTGGATAAGATTTTAACCATCTGCGCTGGCCTTGTTAACCTTAGGGGTCCACTGATACGACTGCCACATGAGTCATGAGGTGTGAAACATGACTGTGTCCCCGTCTACAAAAGCCCAGGCATATTTTTCTGGAAATAGAAATTGTATGTATGTATGTATTCTACATACAATTGTGAATATTTTTTTGACATTTGGACTATTTTGTAAAATTTGGTAATTTGTATTTGATCTTCTAACACCTAAAAAACATTTCCTGCATCCAATATTTAATACATATTGTTTTGAGTGTCAATGTTACTTGCAGCTTACTACGAATTAATAAAGCAATAAAACATGAGTGGAAGTGGTCGTGGTCCATTTAATGCAATAATGCAATGGTGCAATTAAACTTAAAAAGAACACAGGTACAATGACTAATTACACAGTATATAACATTGCACAGCTTAAACCTGAAGTAAACAATGAACATAGTGCACAATTCGAGCATTTCACAGTAAGAGCTTAGCTCTTAGAACAAGAGTTGAATCAAATTGAAGTAAAGAATGAACATATTGCACAATTCGAGCATTTCACAGTAAGAGCTTAGCTCTTAGAACAAGAGTTGAATCAAATTGTATTAAACAATGAACATATTGCACAATTCGAGCATTTCAGTCACAGTAAGAGCTTAGCTCTTAGAACAAGAGTTGAATCAACCTGAAAGTTGTTTGTGTGCATTGCTTATTTAAGAGTGAGATATGTATTGCACAACTGTAAGCGCCCCTTGACAAAATCATCAACGATTTTAGGAAGCATGTGAGTGAAGTAGAATGTGCGCAGCCTTGTAATATGCGTCTGAAGGAAGTGTTTGTCATAAGGTACTTGGATTTCTATGTGTTCAGTGTTGTTCCAGATCACCAACAATGCACGTGGAAGCCCTGTGCAGTGCATGCCCAGTTGCACCTGCATGTAGTAGCCTTTAGGACCATTGGAGGCAAGGAGGTAATGTCCGTCGGCTAGGGGTGTGACTTCAGCATTCTTCGTAGCCAGTGCCTCTCTGAGCGACTTCTTCCCCAGCACAGGTGATTTGATCTCCAGCAGCATCTCTTTGTTCATCACTCCGTCTGGACTTGCTGCGAGCCATGGTTCGGCTGGGCACACCACAAGGCCTTTGTTTTCAATGGTATGGCCTTGTGTATTTAAAAATTGCCTTGCGTGTTCTTCACTCACTGCTCCATGGCGTGTTGCAGCATTGCCATGGAAGGTTGGATATAGATGCTCTGATAAAAACTTCTCAGGTGAGGTGGTTGAGCGAATTGGCACTTTTCTAGCTGTGCTTGCTGTAATGCGCACTCTACGCATATCATGCCAGAGCTGTAAGGGATGAAAAAAAAAATTTTTTTTTAATTTCTTTACACATGCAAAACATATTTTCATATATCTGTGAGGACAAAACCATTGTATGTTATTGATCCAACATACCTGTACTTTGCTTTGTGCTTTTGTAAGCTTCTCAATGTTCTCCAGCTGGGCTGTGGGCATGTTTACGTAGTCATCATAGAAGGTTCTGCATTTTCGACAAGACAGTGGTGTGTGGTGGTCATCATGGGACAAATTGTGGAGTGGTGGAGATTGTGGTGTCGTGGGAGAGGGATCCGCATCAAGGCAGAGTTGCAGGAGGCATGTGAAAAGTCCTGCCATTGGTGAAGCTAGTACATGCTTCCTCCACTCTTCATGAGTCCCAAAGAGTCGGGCTTCCTGTCTTGAATTTGTAGTGGTAGAGGATGTTGTGGTAGAGGATTGCATTGTTGTCGATGGCTGGTAGATTTTCTGCCTGTAGTGTCGTTTGAATTGTACATCTTTCATCTTCCTTTGACCTGCATTCCTTTGTGAACCAGCATTCCACTTGTTCTGTCTGTCTGTGCAAGCAAGTCCTGTTTTCCCCTGCCTCACAGCATTTTCCACCTATAAGAATATGAAGAACACAGATCACACATATTAAAATGAGTTCACAGATTTCCATAATTCTACATCACACACAGCCTGTTCATTTACAGTTCACTAGGTTACAGAAATGCTCTTTGGAAATAAAATCCATTTGTATTATCAGCACCCATAGACATATTACACTCTATTACCTTATGCTATTTCAAGCCAGAAATCTCAAACTGATAGCTCTTTTCAATTAAGGCTAAAAAGACTATTGTTACTTATCTTACTTAACACGCAATGTTTAGCTTGTGCTTACCTTCCACATAATCGCAGCCGCATGACTACATGATCGTCCCGGTCCAGCAACACATGTACAACCAGCGGTCTGCACATCCCCATTTTCGTTGAGCAGCACACAGGCGCTATGCGGAGAATTATTCAAACACTGGCTGGGCTCGACGTTTGCTTTCAGATAAACAAAGCCATCATGTTTGTATGCTAGTACACATCCGACTTTGCCGCTGTGTAGATATTGGTACGCTTCGGAGGCTTTGAGGTTTTCCATAGCTTTGCCATCGATTGCCATGGACTCTACAAAGTAAGCGCAAATCTTACTGTAGGTAACACTCGGCCAGATCGACATATTGTCATCCCAGGCGCGCAACGAATCCGGGTGCGGGATCGTTATGCCACCCCCACTTAAAGTGCAGCTGCTGTGTTCCCATTTCACAGACATAGCGACGCTCCTAGCTTCCTCCTCCTGTCTGCTATGTTTACGACAGGCAGGAAGTGAGAAACATCAACTTCCGGTGGCGCTGTGTACGATGGCGCCGCCCTACACTTTGGCGCGTGAAATTGTCTATATACGGATATTATAATATTCAGTTTTGTGAGCCAAATTTATTTTATATGCCAACATCTATGAAAGAAAGAGCCAGGCCACGGAGCACAATGCCAATTTTAATGCCATTTTTGGAGTTAATGTTGTGATCTGTGCGCTCAACCCACCTTTGTCACGTGAGGTTTGAATATGAGCAACTTTATGTGAGTGTCTTTATTTGTGGAAAAGGGTGTTTGTCTTACCACTGGGTCCAACATTACACACACCAAATCCATCTGTGCTCATATGAGAGAGTGTGGAGGACACTTGTTGAGGAGCTGCCCTCTGTTGCCATCTTGTGGCATTACTGTCTTAAGACATCTCTTAATCTCTTTGACTACTTCATGAAAATGGTAATACGCCTCGCCTGTGGCAGATTTAAAGGCAAGGAGAGGAGCTTATGTGATTGGTGAAAACAGGTCTCGGCTGTGTTAAACCCACTCCACGCCCTCTCTGCTCCCCGTCTACGACTTATGCTGCTGGGAGGAGCTGAGTTAGGGAGGGGGGATACTTACGCCGGGCTGCGCGGCTCACCAAAATACCAAAATGTGCTTGGGAACGCCTTGTCAGCGCGGCGGATCTGACTGACGCTGTGCTTGCGGCACGTCTCCGGCGAGGCATGAAAATAGAGCCCCTTAGGGTTGACCTGGATTACAGCTAATGGTTTGATGCTTTTGAATCTGCTAAGAAGCCATTTTGTGCAACTTTCTTTTAGACTTCAACTTATCTACACTCAACAAAAGATGTATTTCCCTTTTTACAGGAATATTTATTTCTTGTGACAGTGTTGGGCATACTAGAGTTAAAGAATTATGGGGAAAAGACCTTAGGGTTGACCTGGATTACAGCTAGTGGTGTGATGCTTTTGAATCCGCTAAGAAACCATTTTTGTGCAACAGACTCAGAGAAAAACAGTATAGAATGTTACACAGGCTTCCGTGCACACCTCACCTGCTGAACAAGATTTAGGTTTTTAGGTTTTCTTTGTCTTGTGGCATCACAAGGGGACAAGTTGTGGATGGGTGTTATGTATTGAGCTGTGTCTCAATTCAAGGTCTACACACCTGAAGTGCAGATTTTAAGTGTGCGTGACATCATCATGCGGCATAAAGGTGAATGCATAAGGGTGTCCCATTTGGCTCACGATTCTGAACACGCTTAAAATGCGCCCCAAAACCACTCTGTCCTGCCCCTTTTTTAAGCGTGCATTAATGCACACTTTGTGGCCCTGGAATCCTCAGAATTCTTTGCGTGCCGCTGCACGGCTGCTCATTTCGGCTGGGACGTCAGAATCACTTGGAGGCGCAGCGCCTCTTCAGAGAAAATAAAGGAAATCCCAAATATTATCTCACTAAAATCTGCACCTGCAAAACGTTGTATTTTTTAGAAGAGAACTGATCTGCTCTGCTCCCAAATTCAAAAACATGAGAAATAAGAAAGCTGCCAAAACTACAATGGAGTATTAGGGCCACATTGAGAATATTTATTTATTTATTTTTTGAAGAATAAAGAGAATAAAGTTGTAAACTTACAAGAATAAAGTCATAAAGTAAATAAAGTCTTCAAGCTGCTTTTGTGGAGGGGGAAATGACTGGAACCACTCAACAGCAGGATTATTGGTGGATGTATCAGCGGGCCATTCAGAGAGCTTTTTTGGTTTCTGATGAAACAATCCAACTGATAATGAACCTTTGTGATCCAGAGGGAGTCGAGCTCCGACGAGCACCACTTCTCTGACACCGGCGGTAACCTACACCTGCAGAGACACCAACGCCTCTTCTCTGGCATTGAACATTGAACTGTTAATAAACACAGTTTTGACAAAATGGAAAGAGTATCTCCTTGAACTACGTTCTCCACACTATTCTTCTCCTGTGAAGAAAGCCTTGGAGCTCAAAAGCTGGAGATGTAGTTTTAGTCAGTGAGAATAAATAGCCCAAACATCAGTGGAAAATTGGAAGAATTAAATAAGTTCATGTCGGCAGGGATGGAACTGTACATTCATGTCTTGTGCTTCTTCCATCCAAGATTACAATATGAAGACCCAGAAAACAACTGCATCCTCTTGAGTTGAGCCTCTTGACATTGTGATATTATATATCTAAGCAGACTGTGGGCTATAGGGGTTAAGAGTCCTTTCCCAAAGAAAAACCTCAACATTATAATTGCTTCTCTGGATGCAGAAAATCCTTCAAAAAGTAGTAGGAGGAGGGTCTTGAATTGAATTCGATGGGCAATGACTTAAAGGTGAGGAGGAGGATCTTGAATTGAATTCGGTGGGCAACAGGAAGCCAGTGGAGTTGACGGAGGACCGAGATGACATGGTCATATGGGTGGGTGCGGGTGAGAAGTCTGGTGACTGAGTTCTGAATGTGTTGAAGTTTGTTGAGGGTGGTGAAGGGGAGACCGTAGAAGAGGCTATTGGAGTAGTCAAGTCTGGTGGTGATGAAAGCGTGTATTAAGGTTTCAACAGCAGATGGGGAGAGAAAGGGGCGGAGTCTTGCAAAGATTTTCAGGTGAAGGAAAGCGGAGCAGGCAAGTTGGAAGATATGATGGTCAAAAGTGAGGTTGGGGTCGAGATGGATACCAAGGTTGCAGACGAGTGAAGAGGTGGGGATATGGGATTGGTCAATGATGTTGGAGTAGTGGGAGGTCCAGGCGGTGTTTAGGGCGTTGTTGTATTTGTTGATGTAGTCGGTGAGGGCGTGGAGGTGGACAGTGAGACCAGTTTTCTTGTGGAGGTGTTCAAGTTGGTGTTTTTTTCTTTTCATCTCCCTGAGTTCGGGGGTGTACCAGGGGGCAGGGTGATGGAAGGAGACAGGTCTTTGGTGGATGGGTGTGATATTGCCGAGGCAGGACGAGAGGAAGGAGTTGTACAGCTTGATGAGGTCACCGGTGTTGCTAGAAGGAGGGGGAGGGGAGATGGGGATGGAGTTTACCAGCTGAAGTGCAAACTGTGCTGGGTAGAGGGGGGTTTGCAAAATGTAATAGTCCTTGAGGTAGTCCGGCTTGGTTGAGGGATGTGAATGTCCAGGTGATTGCAAGATGGTCTGAGATGTGGAGGTTGTAGCTGGAGATGTTGGAGATGGTTATGTTAGTGGATCATGGATATGGCCAAGCTTGTGGGTGGGGAAGTTAATGTGTTGGGTGAAATTGCAGTGGTTGAGGGTGTCTAAAAAATCTTGAGCAGGTTGGGAGGTGGAGTCGTCAAGATGGAGGTTGAGGTTGCCGAGGAGGAGGATGGATGGTGATGGTGATAGATGGATGGTTGGGTTTGGGTGGGCGGTAGAGGACAGTGATGATGAGTGGTGATGGTCCAGGAAGTTTGAGGGCGATGTGTTCAAAAGAGGGGGCGGGGCGGGGGGGGGAGCGAGAGGGTGGTGGCGCTGATATTTTTCCTGAAGATAACTGCGATGCCCCCCACCCTGCTGTGCGAGGTTGGTCCATGTATTTGTATACAAATACATGAGTTGGTGAGTTGGTGGTGTAGTGGAGTGTGAGAAAGAAGAACCAGATGTAAACTGTAGTCATGTAGAGCTGTGAACGAAATTACGGATGAGGGAGGTAAACAATGATTTTTCAGAGTTGTTGAGATGGATGCCGTCGTGGTTGAAAAATTCCGGTCTGTTCCAGAAGGGGTGAAAGTTGTCAATGAAGTGGATTTTGTGAGCACAGCAACTCAACTCAACTCAACTTTATTTGTAAAGCACTTTAAAAAAAACCCACAGCTGAACAAAGCAGCAGTAGGTCTGAGCCCAGCGGCTCAGCATTAGGAGTCAAGTGCAACGCTCGTGGGGGAGGACAGTAGGAAGGGGTCCGCTAATGAATATTGACTTTCCACAGTCGGTGACGGGCAGTAAAAGTTTTTTGAAATCGTGTTTAGTTTTGTCACATTGATAGCGCGAGGTGTCGTTTACACCGACTTGGAGGATGATGCGGTGGACTAAGGAGAGGAGTGTACGGAGAAGGGAGGGCATTTTGTCTGTGATGTCAGCTATTGTAGCACCGGGAAAAGGCAAAGTGATTTCATTGAAAAAGCGGGTACCATTGATTATGGAGTCACTGATGATGGCTGTAGTCAACGGGAAGAGACGTGCGTGCGGTGGGCCAGTTGGTGTCTGCTGAGTGTAGTCTGCAGCTGGGTTTTCGGGGTCGTGTCGACGAGCCACCTCAGGCTGTCTAGGCACGGTCCCCTAAGGTTGGCAATGGTTGCATTGGCTTTTTCCAGTTCCATGTTGTTTTAATCAGAGGAGCTGTGCCCGGTCCTGCTCAGTGGCTGGTGTCAGAGGAGTCTGAGCTGTTCATTGCTCAGGCCTGTTGATCATACATTTTCAGAATCACCATCAACCCAGAAACTGCCCTGTCTAAGACAGACCTGGGCATTTTACGGCCCAAGAGCCACATCCAGCCCTTTGAATGTCCCTGCCAGGCCCTTCGTGAGGTCCGTCAATGAAAACATGAACATGCTATAAAAGTGTGTTGCTTTTATTTTGAAAACCTAGCCGTTGAATTATTTCCATTTGGACGCATGTGTGTACATCCTAAATCTGCATCCATGAACAGAGACACGTTATACGTGGACGCCTCATAGTTGCCAAGTCCACTTTTCGTAAACGACTAAGGCCTTGTTTTTCTCAAAACAAAATTACAAATAAAATGGAAATTCAACAATTCTCTTGTGAAAGATGAGAGATTTATTAGTCGAACAGCAAAAACATATTAAGTTGGCTTTTCAAGAATTTTATGCAAATGTGTATAAACTGGAATGTAATGTAAATAATGATGATATGAATACCTTTTTCAGAGATATATAACTTCCCACCTAAATAGATAATGAAAAAGGAGACATTGGAGACATGTTGTCGACACAAGTCAAAGCAGCTATTGAAGTCCTTTCCAGTGGGAAAGCACAAGGGGTCTCATTTATAAACGTTGCATACGCACAAAGAAAGCGTACGCCACTTGTAAGCAATGTTTGGGATTTATAAAAGACAATCTTGATGGGAGAATGTGAGTACCTTTACGGCAGCTCTGACCCTGCCGTGTGCACAAAATCTGGAGAAACGAGAAACTGCAACCCCAACAGTAGAAGGAGGAAATTAAAGACAGATATGTGAAATTGATACATTTGTGTGAAATAATTGAATATTACACATTTCACAACAAATATCACAAATTAAATTATATTTGGAAAAACGAAGAAGGGGGAAAATGTATATTGATGCCCCAGGGAGTGCGCGAGCAAATGCATGCACGCAGGCACCTACACACATAGCCAACATTATTGAATCAATTATGTTCCGTCATTGTGAAACAATCCTTACACGTTATAATGAAATCCATTCACATAAACAATAAGGTGGACAGTAACCACTGTGTTCCCAAAATGTGCCATAAAAATAAAGTTTTATATTAATAATTGTAATTAAAAGGACATGATCATTGCACAAAACTACTGATTAATTAGGCTACAATACCTGTAGCTGATCGGAAAATGAAGTTGTGGTTGGATATACAAAAGCATGCACTCACAATGCGTAAGGATGCACAGTAGCTTATCTGGCACTGCTGGAGGACATGGTGTAAGGGAGACTCCGGAGGGATTGGATCTTTGGAGACCAGCAAGATCCACTGGCTCATGATGATGTGTGGCTCATGAGCTGGTACCGGCTGTCATGTGCTGTGCTCCTGGACCTCTACGATGTGTTGGGCCTGGTATTACAGAGAGGCTCCAGAAGAATCCAAGCAGAAGGTCCCTCTGCAAGTGCTGACAACACTGGGTTTCCTGGCAACTGGTGCCATCCAGAGGGAACTGGCTGTAAGGTCAGGGATATCACAGCCTACCTTCAGCCGAGTTATGCCAGGCATGTTAGGAGGTATCATTAGTTTGTCAAAACAATTTCCTTACTCGGTAGGTGAACAGGCAAACAAAAAATGCAATTTGCAGCAATGTCCAGTTTCTCCGATGTGATCGGTGCCATTGACTGCACTCATGTTGCAATCAAGGCCCCATGTGAGAATGAAAATGCATTAACCGATAGCATTTTCATGAACGTCCAAAACGTATGTGATGCTCACAAATGTAGTGGCTCATAGGCCTAGATCTACCATGATTCATTTATTCTTAAGGCTGGAGCTGTGCAGGATGGCTGGCCTCTTGGCAAGAATTTGGCTATTCCTTTTAAAATACAGAATTGTTGCAGTTACACTCTACTGCAGACCCTAACCCCTTCTCAAACCTCACAGGTGACAGTGGATGCCCCCTCAAATGGTGGCTGCTCACCCCTTTTTCCAATCCCACAGAGTGAAGGTGAACAGAATTACATGTGCACCACAGCCAGATGCATGCTGTTGTCAAGTGGGCCATTGGGATGCTGAAGGGCAGGTGGTGGTGCCTTGATGGCACAGGAGGAAGCCACACACTTGCAAAGGTGTGTAAGATAGTGAGGGCGTGCGATAAGTTGCACAACATGGCACAAAAGGAGAATGTACCACCACCTGATTTCAATGTTGCCCCTGATGTCGACCCCCATCCCCTTGTGTTTGAAGGAAATGCTGCTGCTGTACGCTAGCGGCTGGAAGTGATGCAACACATATGAAACACACAAGAGGTAGAGGCAAAACATTTTTTTCATTTGTTCACCTGCTGTCTCAGTGTTGCAGCAATGTCTGTCAAGACACATTTGATTTCCTGCAACTCCTTGGCAACTTCATTGATGGATGTGATTGTGTCCCTCTGCACTTGCAGGACTGCATCTGCGAGGACACGGCTGCTGCAGGAGGGCACACGTGGTGCTGTGGAGTCACTGGCTTCACTCACTCCAGCCACAGCTGCAACACTACCAACCCAGTTGGAACAGCCAATTAAAGAAACATTATTTAACTTTAAATAGAGAAACAATTGTGAATTGTGTTTCAGATGTTTGTAAATCATCATTTCTACTATTTCAAACAGAATACAGTTACTTTCATCCGGTGCTTCTGGCGCATCTGTGACCCCCTCCAACTCTGTCACCACACCATTCAGGAGGGATTCCTCAATGATCCCTGCCAGCTTTTCCTCTGTCAGGGTGAGCTTCGGTTTTCTCTTTCCCCCACCTGTTGCACACTCTTTCTATGAAGGGCAATATGCCTTTTCACCTACACTTTAATGTTGGACCATTTCTTTGTGACTTTAGCCACAGTCTGACCCTCTGAGGCAACCTTATTCACAACATCCACTTTTTAGCCTTTCTGACATAAGTGATGCCTGCACTGTGCCCATCAAATAAGACGGTATTCTGTGTGTCCACCTCACTAAATTTGTGTCTCAATCTCACGTTGAGTGAACTTTCTCTTTTTCACCTGTTTTCCATCTTGGTCCATTGTGACATTGGTCATTGAATATGCAAACAGGGTGTTCACATGCCCTTTTGTAGGCACCATGTGGGTGGGACAAAGTATTTTCTCACTTAAGAGTTGATTGTGATTTATAAATATAAAGGGTTCTTTGTGGCCCGTTGCACTTCCACTGGTCCTGCTGTCCATGGAAAACATGCTTTGCACAGCAGGTTTTGTGGTACTGAACATCAATTGAATGTGCATCCCCTTGTGCAATGCATGTGTTCAGTCTTGTCTTTTGTGTGTCACTATTGGATCTTTCAATTGTTTCTTTAAGAGGCTCCCCAGCTTTGATTGTCCTCACCTGATAAAGCTGCTTCTCATGATCTTTCTGACAAAAGAAACGTTATTCCTTATCTGGTGGACTTGTACAGGGCCTCATGAATGATGTTGAAGAGCAACATGTTGATGTGCCTGATTCGTTCATTTCAATGCTTCCCCTTTTCTGTCCATGATTCTTGACAGTTTGGAGGCCAGAAGGTAATGTATGTGCATGATGGGACTCTTGGATGTGATCTTTGTTAGTTGCATTTGCATAGCATCTATGATGATATACCACCTGGTGTGTACAGTGTGTGTTTTTTGTACAGCTTTGCAGTTCTCCTTGGACCTCATCATAGTTGCCATCATGCAAACTGGCCCCTACTATGTCCAGCACATGCTGAATCTATCCAGGAATGCTGCACCAACTCGTCCTTGTCATCTTTAGACTGGCACAGCATACACTGCTTCCAGTTGACTCCTGACCTTGACAAGGAACCCCTTCGATAGATGGTTCATCACTCATATTTACAACCACTATAATGCAACCACTAACAACTTATGTGTAAGGTATAGTAAACTGTTCAACATACATAATGGCCTACTAATAGGCTTACTACAATAATGAGACAACTAGATAAACACATCCTTGCGGGTGGTGCTTAGTATGGCCTGGTGAAATCAAATAGTATTTGCTAATGTCTGCAACTAGGAGCATTGGATTCCTTTGCCCAAAAAATTATATTTTACCTATCAAAATCAAAGTTCTATATTATTTAGAAGCTAAGATATTGACAAAAACATTTTCATAGCAGCCATTTTATAAAATCCAAGATGGTGGCCCTATAGGTCTCTGTGCCAATGGAAATGTTATTTTTCCAAACTGCTTACTCTCAAAGTATCCAAAGGAGTGAAATTTCCAGTTTGAAAACCTCTCAAAACAGATTTTGAGAAGATAATAGACTTAAGAGAGCATTGTATGTGCATGCATCAGCGTTGTATGTTAACCCGTTGAATCGCTCTACCTTGAGCAACTTTAATGCAACTTTTTAGACTGCATTCTTAAGGGTTTGTTGGTTTTTAAGTTGAACTTTTACTGTGTATGGGTTTTTGATAACTGGCCATCTTCTTCTAAAGTTCTGAGAAACAAATCTGGCATATGCTAAAAGTAAACATGGCTCCACTTGTCTCGCTATCCAACTGCCCAAGCTGTGTCGATCTTTGTAAGAAAGTCCAGGAATTGGAGCAAAAAATTTCCACTGTTTATAAAATCCAAGAGGCCGAACAGCACCTGGACATGATCCTTCTCATCTATGCACCAGCCATGCACCAGCCACTCCCAGCGTGGATGAGATGGATGACAAGGCTCCCTACACTATTCCTTCTACGGCAAAAGCATCTTCACTGGTGGCTTGTGCTACAGCTCCGCTGCTGCTCCCGATCCTGGTGTAGCTCCAGCTGGGGATAGCTGGCTGCGACGAGGAGCTAAACCCAAGAGCAATGCCATGCCATGCACCAGCCACTCCCAGCGTGGATGAGATGGATTACAAGGCTCCCTACACTATTCCTTCTACGGCAAAAGCATCTTCACTGGTGGCTTGTGCTACAGCTCCGCTGCTGCTCCCGATCCTGGTGTAGCTCCAGCTGGGGATAGCTGGCTGCGACTAGGAGCTAAACCCAAGAGCAAAATTAACTCCAACCCAGTACACAGGCAATCATAGGCTGTTGTGGGTGATACCAGCACTGTTGTGGGTGATACCAGGAAAAAGACTGGGAACTTCACCAGCTGTCTCTCACTTGCCTGCTCCATTATTTCCAGTTTACCCTGCATCCCACGAACATTTGTCAGATCAATGTTCTCAGGTGGGACAGGAGTTTGGGAAACTTGCATTGGAATAGCTGAGTGTAAGCAGTTTTGATGGCAGTAGTCACTCCTGTAGCAATCAAGACAACCCTGGGTGTGAAACTCACACATTCCTCACAGGAAAGTTTCCTTATCTGGTCCCAGGAAACAGGATATAAATCTTTCCAGACTCGTTTACACTTTCAGGTTAAATAAGTGACCCAACCAGAGGTTGACTAAACCTCTGACTCTTCACGATTGGTTGATTCGGAGAACAGAGACAGAGTTTTTATTACCTTTCAAACTGACTCCATTACTGACCATCTAAATAAACATTAACCTCAACCCAGATCTCCCATTTGAGATTTAGCGTCTTAAAGTGTGGGAACATACGGACCCCAGGAAAAGGGGGGACACTGACCTCCAGACCTCGGTCGTAAAACCCTGCTCGACCATACACTGATAAAGACTACATTCCTTTGGTGAAAGAATACAAATGACTGATCATGACATCTTATGCATTCAGCAATGTACTAATCTGTCTAATCATGAAATTTGTGTTAAAATGAGATGTTTCCCGTTTTTCTATGTGCTTCAGAGGCCGAGTTACAGAATAAATCCTTTATTCTTTAGTTTCTTTAGACCAACAGCTTTTCAGACTGTTTCATGAACTTTTAAGAGTTAAATTTATTGACTATGGATCATAACTTACTCTATGAACACAGAAATAGTTTAGAAATGTTTGGTTTATATTTTAGTTGTTTATTTAGTATTTTTAACCATTAGGTGGTTATACTGTCATTGAATAATCTGAATGTGAGTATTTAGAATCCATTATTAATCATGATGATGTTCATTCACATGTGTTTACTCTTTTGTTGTTCACAGTTTCCATGTGTTACTATCTGTTTCATTTCAGAGTAATTTAGCATGTTCAATGTGATACTTAAAACATAATGAGAATGTTTGATGTGATCCTACACTTCATTCATATGTGTTTAGTATCAAATTATTTATCATGAAACCTAGCATTCAATGATATTAATCACAGTGAGTGAGTATCAGATCTGACTCTTTTACCAGCCAAAAGTATAAGTTAGATCAGATAATCAGAGATCCGATGTCTTCTCTGCTTGGAGACCACACAACCCTCCTCCTCTTTCTCCTCACACACACACGCCAGAAACACTCCCAGTGTGAGAGGATAAAACCAGTGAAGTGGGGTTGCTCACGCTCTTATGTTTCTGCTCTCTCTTAGGCCCCTTACTCTTGTGCCCTTCTCTTCTGCCCACACCCTTCTGTGGTGCGTTTCTTTGTTTTCTCTTATATCTTTTTCTTAGTCTACTAAGTTTTACGCCACGTGTTGATTCACGTTGATTTTCTTTAACATCGTCTTAGTTTAAGTTTTGAAACTTCAACTTTTTGTGCACATAGCAATTCAAGATTAAGCCTTTGATTGATTTTTCTTTAATTTCGCGAAGCCATTTTTGAAAGTTTTCTCTGCTCGAGTCTTGTTTTTCTGAATTATCTGCGTGATTTTCAAAGTCACCTCTGAACGCCACCCAGCAGGCCCAGGTTATCCTCTGTGCCAGAGTTTTTGAGTGAGACCAAAGAAGTACCCAAACGAGCATCCACAGGATCCACAGGCGCTGGCTTTGCTTCGGGCCAGAGTGCTGCAACTCCTGGCTCATCCTTCGGCTGACCTCAGTCGTCTTCTGAGCTGAACCCCTTGAACCGCCAGTAGCCCGGATCTTCGGAACCTGCTCCATCTTCTCCAAGGACCAGTCTCAATTAAGTATGCAAACCTCCAGAGCTCCAAAGAGGGCTTGTGCTGTCTCCTGCGTTCATAGCTCAGATATCCTCTTATTCTGGTAATCTTAGATTCCTCCAAATCCACATCCGAGTTTATCTCGACACCAAAGTTAGTGTAGGTTTATATGTTAGCGCATATTCACTCACTATCGTTAACTTTAGTGCTCCTAGCCTGACTCAGAATCTTTACTTATTCACCTATTATTATTTTATCCTCATTATCTTATCATCATTTATTGCATGTGTGTTGTACCATCATTTATCCTGTAATAAACAGATCATTATTTTTCTAAGTTCCTGTCTGTTAGTGTTCTTCCAGAAGTGGAGTCCCTGAAATTAGAATTTCAACTTAAGATATGAGACTGATTAATTAAAACTGACTTGATGTTTGATTGATGAATTAAACTTTTGTTTTCTTTATTTTCCCACCGTTAAGGGTGGGTGGTGCCCCTTTCAACGAGTGCATAAATGTCATAATTTGAGATTATTAATCTTCAGACATTTATTATAAATTCCAATCGCTACAGTATTATTTTGGTGCGGCCTTGTGAGGCTCATTTCAAATCGCTACACTCCAGCTGCAAATG